AAAAGGAATAAAAAAGAAGAATTCTTAAAAAATTATTTAAACATAGAAATTTTAAAAATAAACGTCAGAAAAATAAACTGTCAAAAGTCTGTGGGAACTAAATTAATAGGGGTTTTGTTAAATAAATTACAATGATGTGGAGATGAAAAGAATAAATTATATTAGTATTGTTAAGTTTTATATCTGAATTTTTTTTTATAAATTCCCAAATTAGATGTGATTAAAGTGCTTATGAGAAATTAATGTGGTTTGACAAATATGTCAAAACAGGACAGTTTTATGGTTGAATAAAATAGAAGACGGAATGAAAAAAGAAAGTGGGTTGCTGTTAGCAACGAATAATTTTGGGGTGCTAGCTATGGCGGTTAACAAGGAAGAATAGGTTGTTGGAGGCGACGAAAATTTTGGAGGAAGAGCCCTAAAAAGGTGGAATAGTCCGGGAGTGCTTTAAAATCGTTTAATTATAATTTAGTTTTTCCACATTTTCAAATAGAGATATCCAGAATTTGTTCCAGAGAGTAAGAGAAATTTTGACTTATAAATTATAATTGGAGTGCAGAAATGTCATTTAGATTGAAAAAGTAAAAATTCATGAATTAACTAATTGCGATAGGCCTTTAAAATTGAAATATTAATGATCATTAAAATAAAAATATAATAGTACGTACCTTTAACTTCCGAAGAGAGGATAGATATTCCAGTATCACCGATTATTTTGCGAGTAGTTAGTTTTCTTTAAAAAAAAATCAGAACTGTTTGAAAGTGAGTTTGGATAATAATTTTGGGGATCATTTGAAATCTTGATTATATTTTAATGCTAGTTATAAGTCAGCGGCATAAAGTGTTCAGTTTTCTTTTCTTTATATTTCATTTAAACACTTTATAAAGTTGCAATAGTCATTTAGATTTAAGGTAATTGTAGAGAGTTTCCACATTTTGTAATCAAATTCTATTTTCACGACACATTAAGGTTTACACGATTCCTATTTTTGTAAATTTTTAAAGGCAACCCAAGTTGCAGACGAATTTTATTGTTTATAGTAAATTTGTTCAATATTAATAAATAACGTGCTTCATTTGGGTTAATTTATCAAAAATATAAAGTAAATTTTGGTTTAATTTCTTTTTGAACTCTACCAGGAGACTACAGAGTTGACGTCACACAGTGACAGATTGCTTAGAACAAATAATTGAGCTAGCCGAGGTATAGTATATTAACAACGAACTACATACTTTTAAAATTCACTTCAATTCAATTAAAATTATATTTATTAACAATAAAACATAAAAATAATAAAAACAAAACTATTACAATACATTTCCGATCCACATTTTTAACTTGTAACGTTATAAACGTCACATCTCTATTAATTTATATTTAAATAATTATTTTATTTTAATTTCTTTATTAATTTATTAATTTGTTTATCTTCAGTTAATTTTTACTATCTTTTTTATTTAAGAAGTAATTGGCGCTCTCTCTGTCCTTCTATATTTCTTCCTCTCATTATTTCCTCTCTCTTTCTGTCGCGTAGAATAAATATTCGCCCTCTCTCTTTGTGTTCTGTGTTGACAGACAAGTTAGTTTCGTAAAATAGCAACATCCTATGACATCTGTGCTAACTTCAAGCAGTTTCCCACTTACTGTCAAAACAACTTCTAACGTGGTGGGATTATTTTTTGTCTGATTTTGACTTTATAAAAGAAGGCAAAATTTATAATTAGACTCATTTTATGGTCTACTAATTCTCTTGGGTTTATTGGAAATATCGAGAATATACCATTTTATTGGAAATATCGAGAATATACCATTTTATTGGAAATATCGGGAATATACCCTTTCATTAGAAGTGTTTAAAACAATTCGATATATAATACCAAGCAATATCTCCATTTTACTGGAATTATTGACCACATAGGACCACGTGTAACTGCAGTTCTCCAACCATCAACATTCCATTTAAGGACCTAGCAGCTAGGACACACAAGTAGCCATCGAACAAAGCAATAAGTATTGCATTAATTGTTAAGCTTTGGCAGGGTCTATTATTGTGCTTTTTTTTAATAAATATGTTTGGTTAAAATTTGTTTTATTTGCTATCAACTGAGAACTCAGGTTCAATCCCTATTTTAAGACAAGACGAACTCACCCTTGAGATACTGAGCTAGGCAAGGTATAGACGATAAGCTCCCATGGTTAATTGAAGTATTATTGTCACAATATTACTTCAATTCTCTTTGGTAGTCTTATCGTTACAAACTTTTGCTTCCATCTAGTGGTCAACAGGTAAAGTTGTTAGCGATTTTGTTGTAAAGTGTCAGCTGTTTAGTTGGTAACCGATACTGCTAGTTTTATTTTACGAGAAACTGTTATCTTTTGTGAAACAAAATCGATCCAACTTTTTAATTGTGATTTATAAGGTAAGTAGTTTTTTATAAAGTACAAAACATTGCCATAAAAACGATAGTTTTGAAATAAACAAACATTTTTTAGATGCACATGAGCATGTACAAGTGGTCTGAAAGCATATTTCTGATTGTACATCTGTATGTACATATGGTCTAAACTTGGGTTTTCCCTTAGTATTGTTGATTGCAGATAACATGGATTACAAAAGAAAAAAATATGATTTCGACAACCCAAAACATCTCCAAGAGTTAATTGACCTGATAGAGGACGGTAACGTATTAGAAATAGACAATTTGGAAGTTTCCTGAGGAGAGAGTTCTGACGAGGAGGATGGAATTCTGGATAACTGTGAGAATAAATCTATTATAAGACCAGGGGTTGATGCTTTGACCAGACGTGACACTGAGACACTGGAAGAAGGCGATGGCAGCGAAAATGATACTGAGGAGTTAGGGAGAACTTATGATTCAGACGACGAATATATACCAGATGAAGTTGCAGGTTACTCGGGTACAAAAACAATTAGGAAGTAAAGTATGTTTCTCAGAAAAGGATTGTTCTAAAAAACCAAAACAAAGATAGAGAGATACTGAGACTCCTACATTTACATGGCATCCTACTTCCCCAAATACAAATCTTACAGAGCCACTGTACCCAATTCAGTATTTTTCGAAGTATATTTCAAATAATTTGTTTGAAAATATAGCAACATTTACAAATGTATATGCCTTACAGAACGGAAAAAATTTTAGACCAACTAATCAGGGAGAAATTAAAATTTTATTTGCACTTCATATAATGATTGGAAATTTAAACAAATTTCCCAAAATTAGGATGTACTGGGAAAGAAGCATTGGTATTAGAATGTTCCTAGATAACATGGTCTAGGGACAGATTTTTCCAGCTTAGAACATGTTTACATCTAGTGAACAATTTGGAAAGACCAGCAGGTGATACAGATAAATTTTATAAGGTTCGTCCTATCATCGACGCTGTCAGAAAGAGATGTTTACAGCTTGAACTTGAGGAAGTACTTAGTGTTGACGAGCACATGATTCCTTACACAGGAAAACTTTCCGTAAAACAATATGTGAAGGGGAAGACCTGTCCTTGGGGAATAAAATTATTCGTCTTGTGCGGAAACAGTGGTCAGGCTTTTAATTTTGTTTTTTATCAGGGTAAATCTACAGAACTGAATGCAGATAATAAAACAAAACATGGATTAGGGGCATCTATCGTTCTTCAACTAGCCAAAAGAATTTCCACCAGTGAAGGCCACAAATTATATTATGACAATTATTTCTCATCCTACGAACTACTTGAAATATTATTGGCCAAAAAAATATATGCTGGAGGGACTATTCAAATAGATAGATTTTACAAACCTCCTGTGTTACCAGACAATGAAATGCTGGAACTACCGGGAGGTTCCGTAGATGAAGTCGTCAATAAAGAAAAAAATGTGGTGCTAGTCAAATGGTTAGCTACAAAGACTGTGAAATTAGCCTCCAATTATGTTGGTGCAGGTAATTTAGACATAGTTAGAAGATGGGGCAAAAAAGGCTCTTGTTACGTAGATGCTAACCGACCTGAAATTGTCAAAGATTATAATTATGGAATGAGCGGAGTTGATCTAATGGACCAGATGATTAATTATTATAGAATATTTATTAGATCGCGAAAGTGGACATTGCGTGTTATTATCCACATGACAGACTTCGCTCTCACCAACAGCTGTCTGGAATACAGGAAGGACTGCGACAAATGTAATACAACCAATAAGGATCGAATGAAATTTCTAGACTTCAGAGTCAGAGCTGCCGAAAGCCTAATAAATATGGGCAATTCAGTAAGTAGAAAACGAGGAAGACCAGCATCTTCATCTCCTAAGCCTTCTATTTCAACATTTAAAAGACGAGGAGAGACGAGACCATTTTTGGAAATACAAACGCACAATTTTGGTCACATACCGGAGTTTGATTCTAAGAAGGAGGCTACTAGGTGTAAAAACACAGATTGTAATGGACGTAGTCATGTGTTCTGTAAAAAATGTAAAATACATCTGTGTTTAATTAAGGCTAGAAACTGTTTTACAGCTTTTCATGAACAATAAATATGTAATAATAATTACTTTGTAGTAAATATATTTTTAGTGTTGAGTTTATATTTAAGACCATATGTACATACATATATACAATAAAAAAATTTTTTTTAAAGCGTACACAAGTTTTTTTCATTTTATTTTACTAATTGAAGACTTTTGATATATAAAAACACACAGTTAAGTTGATGGAAAATAAACTTAATAAAGGGCACGTATTATTTACTGATAATTTGAACACTAGTGTTCAGTTAGCGCGTGACCTGTTAGCTTCTAATACAAATATAACTAGAACATGTAGGAGTGATAGAAAAGGTATACCCAGAAATGTCACTAGGTGAGTTAATATCGAGATACTCCAACAATGTGTGTTTGCAAAAATGGAAAGATAAAAGACTTTCGGCAGACTATTTTGTGTTCAATATTCATTGTAACGAATAAACCTCACAGTGTTACTTTCCTAAGTTTTATAGTTTTTTATTCAATAAAATGATGACAAGTGGCAAAAGTAAATGTGAAAAATTAGTGTTAATGGCATTAGAAGAGGAGAACCATAATGTGGGTATGTATTTAATAGTGGATTCTTATATTATTTTTAATTTTTCTAAAAGTAAGGTTATGTTTGATTAAAATTATGTATTTTTATTTTAAAAGATCTATTAAACAGAGTACATAATATTTTCTTGCTGATATTTGCAACTAATTATTATTATCCATCAATACCTACCAATTTAGTAGGCAATTACTTTAGCTAGAAGCTAAGTAAAAGCTTAGATAATGTTTTATTAGTATACTTGTAGAACTCATAGAATGTTAAATTTGTAATTCTAATTGTTTTGGTTCGACTTCAACAACAAAAGATGATTCATACATTATTGCTGGTCCAATTTGTCCAAGTTAGCATACTAATTATTATTATCAATGTTTACCTACCAATTTAGTAGGCGATTCATTTAGCTACAAGCTAAGTAAAAGCTTAGATAATGTTCTATTACTATACTTTTGAAACTCATAGAATTTAAAATTCTGTTGTTTCAGATAATTCTGAAGTACAAGATTTTGACTCTGACTGTTCAATTCAAGATCCACATTACGAACCTTCATCAGACAGTGAAAGCACTGATAAAGAAAATGTCTCAAGTACTAAGGTAGGTAAGGAAGAAAATGTAATAAATGAACAATTAGCAGATACAAAAATTACACAAAAAAGAGGTCGATGGAAGAAAGCTGAACCTACAAAATGGAAAAAAAATTTAAAGAAAAAACAGAAAATTGAATCCAAGGCACCAAAGGTATCAAACTGAGAAAAATGCCGGTTTCAATGCAATGTACATTTTTCAGAAGAACTTAGAAAATCACTTTGTCACAACTTTTGGCATAGTGAATATTTAAAGCAAAAAGAGTTTCTTTTAGGAACAACAGAAAGTATACCACCGTTAAGGAGAAGAGTTCGAACAGAGAGTTCAAGAAAAGAAAGAACCGATACAAAAATTTACTATTTAAATAATGATGTGCAAAAAATCCGGGTATGTAAAAGCTTTTTTCTTAAAACTTTATGCATTTCGGCCGATATGATTGATGCTGCTTATAAAAATAAGGGGGAGGGAAAAATGTTTGTTGGACAAGACAATAGAGGTAAGAAGACTCCACATAACAAGACAGTCCAAGAAAGTATAGAAAGAGTGAAAAATCATATAGAAAAGTTTCCTACCATGGAATCTCATTATTCCAGAAAAGAAACTAAACGTTTGTACCTCGATCCTCAACTTGGCATTACGAAAATGTACAATCTATATAAACAAGAATGTTTAAATGAAAATGTAAAACATGTAAGCGAAATTACTTACAGGAGGAATATTTGTACCAATTACAACTTGTCCTTCTATAAGCCAAAAAAAGATCAATGCCAGCTTTGCACTAAATATAATTCCTTAAAAGTGGGCCCGGAGAAGCAGCTGTTAGAAAATGACTACGTACAACACATTATGCGGAAGGAAGAGTGTATGAATGCGAAAGCAGATGATAAGGAGAAATGTCAGCAGCATAAAGAATTTATGTGTTGTACCTTTGATTTGCAATCAGTGTTACAAATACCTTCGAGTGACGTCAGTTCTACGTATTACAGTCTTAAAGTATGCGTATCCAGCCGCGGACTGTTGCTTTCAGGAGTTGAGACTGGTACTCTTCTTCTGGGGGCAACAGTCTGACGGGGGGTTGGACCACGACCCACCTGGCGCGTCCCAATGGCTCATAGGGTGAGCCATCGAGGGCGGGAGGTGCGACATGAAGTTTCGGGTTTGTCGGAAAGCATGTCGCGCCTCGCACACTCGATGGTAAGAGTGCTGAATAAGGTGGGCTTTCACTGAATAGGCACCGCGGATCATGTGGTAGCACAGATTAGGGGAGGCAGCTGATCTGTGTTCAGCGCGACGATTACGGGGATCGGTGTGTCGCAGGAGGCAGGACCTGATTACAGCCCAAATCTTGCGATACATGGGTTCAAGTATCAAGAGCTAAACTGCGTCCGGCGAAAACCGTGATAAAATATAGAGGAGTAAACCTCACTAGTGGTGAAAAATCCCCATTATCAAGGTGGAAGGCATCGTGCCGAAGGTATGCGAGGTGCAAGGGTTAGCGCATCGCAAACGATCCCTCCGGGATACCAGGCGACCTCCCGGAGTATCCAGCCTGGGTGGGGTAAGGGTGCACTGCCCCCCCTGTAAGTATATTTCAGCCCGACTCGTGGGATCAGATATGGAATATGAAAATGTAAAAAACTTAACTGGGGACAGCACATCAGGTGCAAATGCAGAAAAAAAAGAGAAAGATGAAAGAAAGGAGAGGATAGATGCGGAAGAGAAGATCTTTAAAAGATCTTCAAAAATGAAACGCTCCCCTCAAAGGAGCAGAGAAAATGAGAGCGGGGTTCAAGTTCCGTCTGGGGATGAGAACCAGAAGATAAAGGCCCGAAAGGCGAGTACGGGGTCGGTCCTGGATAGTATCCTGGATTCTTCTTCGGACGAAGGGGAGCCCCTAGACTCTAAGAGGAAAAGGGGAAAAAATGAAGAATCAGAAAAGGAGCCATCGGAGGAAGAGGAATGGTCGGTGACGAGGGGGAAAAGAAAGAAAAGGAGCCCCAAGTCCAGGACCGACCAACACAAAAAGAACACCGAAGAAAACGAGGTGGAGGTGCTTCACCGAAGGGTGGAGGAGCTCCAAATGACGATCGAGGAGATCCACCGTCTGACGATCTTATATCCAAATACCCAGACGGATATAAAGAAATGTGTGAAAGCGGCGAGAACTTGCGTGGTGCAGACCGCGAGGTGTGCTAGTCGAGTGAGCAGGAGAGTGAGCGAGCAGGATGAAAATCTGAGGCGAGTGCGGAAGGAATTGGCGGAGGTGCGCTCGGGTCTGGCGGCTGCGAGCGCTACTCCGGCAAGGCCGAAAGGGTTGTGTGTGGGGATCCAGGTTGGGAGCGAAGACTTGGATGAGTTAGAGGCTGCCAGAAAGGAAGAAGAGAGAGTGGCAGCCCTAAAAGAACGAATGGGCAGGGTCGTAGAAGTTGACGAGGTCATAGACCTCGCCAACGAAGATTGGCCGGAGGCAGTCTTCGAAAGGACCGAGGCGACGGAAGAAAGCCCACTTGGAAGGGCAAATGACCTGGGTGTGTTTGTGGCGAACGGGGGAGACACCGGGGGCGAGGTTTTTGGTGCCTACCCAGAGCTGGTGTCTCTTCCTGTGGAGGAGAGAATGGAGGATGTCAGGTGCGGGTGGATGGCAGTCATGACCAGAGTGCCCGGGAGGGATACTACCGAGAAGTATATCTTCAAGGTGGTTCCCTCTGACAGAAATGAGGTGAGTGGGGCGGCTAGGTTCGTGCACGCGGCACGAACACTGGCCGAATGTATGAAAGAAGAGAGGAGAGAGTGTGTCTCGCTGGCAGCTCCGGGATTTTTGGGGCTTGAACGGTCCAGGAAGATCTTGGAGCTGGTAGCCAGAGTGAATGGGGTGCGCTTTATAGTGCACGGCAAGCGAAGTATGAAGGGTTGTGTGGCACCGCTGCCCAAAGATTCGGTGGTGTTAATCAAATCGGCGAATCGGACTTACGCCGAACTTTTAAAAGATGTAAGAACCAGTGTCGGAGAATGTGAGGATATTAGGGTGACAAGGGTGAGGCAGACCAAAGAAGGTCTAGCCTTGTCTCTTAATGGAGGAGCAAAGATGGCTGAAAGGGTCAGGGAGGTGGTGCGTGCCGGCGTCCCTGCGGCCGTAAAGACGGTTGCAAGGGGAGGAAATCGGACCCGTACCATTTTCCTGATGGGAATGGATGAGCTCACCTCTGAAAACGAGGTGAGGGATGCAATTGAATGCGCTGCCGGGAGAAAGGTCGATCTTGACATAAAGTCGCTTCGACCTGCCGGTGGCAGAAATAAAAATGCCACCGTTGAGGTCGAAGAGACTGTTGCACTGAGACTTCTCAGTGCAGGCAGTGTCAAGATGCGCTGGATCTCGTGCAGCGTGCGGGAAAAGCTGGACCTAAAACGTTGTTTTAGGTGCCAGAAGTATGGTCACCTATTGCGTGAGTGTAAGGAGAAAGAGAGGGTAGAGGTGTGCTGGCGATGTGGTCAAACAGGCCACAAGCGCCAGGAATGCAAGGAAGAGAGTGCGAAGTGTGTCGACTGTGGGGAGAATGGACACTACGGGGGAACCACCCGCTGTGAGGTGTTCAGGCGTCTCCTTAAGGAAAAGAGGGAGAAGGTAGAGGGACCACGACGTTAAGATGGCGGGTGGCACCAATACCAAGAGTGCGAGGTTTCTTCAGACCAACTTGGGTAGGGCGAGGTTGGCGCACGATCTCGCCCTGAAGGCCGCCACGAGGAGGAATATCGACGTCCTCACGAAATCTCAGGGTAGTCCGAGAGAAAGGTTGGCAAGCGGACGAAGCGGGTAACGTCGCGGTGTATATTCGGAATCGTAAGTTGCGAATCTATGCCATTGACGCACATGACGGTTATGTAACTATAAGAATGGAAAGAATGAATGTAATCTGTTGCTATATTTGGGGAAATATGATCTGTTGCTATATATGGGGTAGATGAGATTATGAATGAGGGCAGACGTTTGGGTGGAGAGTTCTTGGTGCTTGGGGATTTAAACGCGAAATCTTCGGAGTGGGGATCCCCGGTCACTGATGCTCGAGGAAGAATGCTAACGGATTGGGTGTCGGCTCTGGACCTGGTTGTACTCAACACGGGTCTCGAGCTGACATTTGTGCGGGGAAATTCAGAATCATACATTGACGTTACTTGCTCGTCAACGCGGCTGGCTACGCGAGTGAGAGAGTGGATGGTTCTACCGGATTATGCGGGGACGGACCACCGCTACATCTACTTCGAGGTGGGTGGCGCGGGGTCTGACTCCCCCGTGTATACCGGGGGAAACGTACAGATGAACTGGGATGTATTCGTACAATTGGTTGAATGGAGTGTGGATGAGATAAAAAGTGAGCGTGATAGGTGCCTGCCTTTACGAAGGCAGCTACAGCGAATGAGGAGAGGAAGAAGAAGTGAAGATGCGATCAGAAATTTAGAAGAGTTGCACTCCGATTGCAGGAGACAACTGACCCGCATGATACGCAGGGAGAAGAGAAGATCCTGGATGGATCTGTGTGAACGGGCGTACTCTCCCTATGACATGCCCCTTGACAAAAAGCTCAGGCTTGTTCGGGAATTATTCCCGGCTGGCAGGGGGTGTGTGATGGGGAGATACCTCGGAGCGTCCAAGGAGCTTGATGTGTGCTTCTCCATAGACGAGCTGAAGGACGCGTTGGATGGCCTGAAGGTCGGTCGGGCTCCTGGACTTGACGGCGTAACCGCGGAAGCGGTGAAGCGCGTCGGGCGAATGGAGACCGAGTGGCTTTTGGGACACATGAACGCGCTCATCCGTCGACAGATCTTTCCGGCATCTTGGAAGATGGCTAAGTTGGTTCTTCTCCCAAAAGGCGAACCAGCAGCTGAAAAGTATCGGCCGGTCTGTCTCCTTCAAACGCTGGGTAAACTGTATGAAAGTTTGATTAGAATGAGAGTAGAGAGATTGATTGAGGAGAGTGGTGGGCTTTCGCCTCAGCAGTACGGGTTTATAAGGAATAGGTCGACTGTGGATGCGGTGGCGGGGGTTTTTCGAGCTCTCGGGCAGGGGGCCGATGCCCGTTGGGCGGCGCTCATCTTGTTCGACGTCCGAAATGCCTTCAATACGCTTGAGCCGACAGTGGTTCTTGGATCTTTGGAGGAGAGGGGTAGTCCGGATTACCTAATGAATGTAATTGGTGACTATTTCAATGAAAGGAAGCTGCATGTGGATAAAGGAATGGTTGTAAAGGAATGAAAGGAAAATATGACGGGATCCTACGCCGCGAATACCCTGAGGGCTGTAAGCCCTTTGCGTTCGCGGACGATCTCGCAGTGCTGGTGGTAGCGGGGGACTTGGACGAACTCCGTTATCGAGCAACGGTCGCATGCGAAGGTGTGTATGATTGGTTGAATGGCCGGGGGCTTGTACTGGCAACAGAGAAGACTCAGGCCATTATCCTGAAGGGTCCGAGGAAGAGAGAGGGTGTATGGTTTGAATATGAGGGAGTGAGGATTGTACCCAGCAGGTGCGTGAAGTATCTGGGTATAACGCTGCATGAGAATGGGGGCTTTGGTGAGCACCTCAGGAGTGTGACAAGGAGGGCAGCGGAGAGAGCGGCTGCGTTGGGGAGGATTATGCCCAACATCGGCGGACCTAGCTCCGAAAGAAGAAGGGTCCTAACCGGGGTTGTTCAGTCAATCGTCCTCTACGCAGCACCGGTGTGGTATAAAGCAGCAGAGGTTTCCGTATACCGAAATCTTCTGATGCGAACGGATCGAGTTTGCTTGATCCGTACGGCATGCGCATACCGCACCACACCTACTGCTGCTCTCTACGTTATTACTGCTGTGGTACCCACACATTTGCTAGCGGGAGAGAGATATAGGATGTATGTGCGTGGGAATGTGGATGGTAGAGCAAGAAGTGAGGAAAGGGCCACTACTATCGAGAAGTGGCAGCGAGAGTGGGAAGGAGTGGAGGATGTGGCACAGTGGACGAAGTCGCTGATCCCGAATATCCGACGGTGGGTGGAATGTGGGCATCGGCGTGGGGGATACTTCCTTACGCAGGTGCTCACAGGCCGTGGATGTTTCCGGACCTACCTGAAGAGGTTCGGGAAAGCGACTGACGACCGGTGTTTATATTGCCGCGAGGTGGACACTGTGACGCATACTCTGTTCCATTGTCCTAGATGGGTAGCGGAAAGGGTGAGGATGAATGCGGGTTTTGGCACAACGATAATGAGTGTGAATGAAATGGTAGAGGAAATGATGATGAGTGTTACTGGTTGGAGAACGGGAGAGAGTTTTGTTCGCGAGGTTCTCGCCGCTAAGGAGAGAGAGGAGCGGGTGTTGGTAATATAGTCGTCGTTGGTTGGCAAGGATTGAGAGGAAGGATTAGATGGAGGGGGCGACTGGAGGGTTATATTGAATGAGAGAGAGAGTTGACGGCGCAGGTCACCAGACGTGTATCTTCACAGGCAGTTCCAGGTGGCCTGTGAAGTCCCTGCAGTGTTTAGTCCATGCGACACGGCCTATGGCTAGGTTTGGGACAGGATGATGCTTGCCCCCATTCTTGCTCAAACTAGTCCTAGGTGTCACCCTGGGGTGGAGGACAGCCGAAACCCGGGGGTGATTTAAAGCAGGTTAAAAAAAAAAAAAAAGTCTTAAAGTATGCATGTATAATTTTACCATTTATGAGTTACGTGAACCAAATGATGCCTTTTGCTATGGATGGACAGAGTTACAAGGAAAAAGAGGCAGTTCAGAAATAGGTAGTTGCTTACTTAACTATATTAACCAAATAAAACCTGAAATAAAACAGCTCTGTTTGTATTCTGATACCTGTGGCGGACAAAACCGCAACCAAAATGTTGCAGCACTATTTTTATATTTGGTCCAAACTTCAAACCTAGAAATCATAGAGCACAAGTTCCTCGAAAGTGGCCACACCTTTATGGAGGTGGACAGCATGCACAGTGCTATAGAAAAAGCAAAGAAATACGTTCCAGTTTATACCATTCGGGATTGGTTTAATATTTTTAGAATCGCAAGATCAAGACGTGTCCGAAACAAAAAAAGTACGGGCTATAATGTTCGACAGATGAATTTTTCAGATTTCAGAGACCTTACAGATTTATCAACAAAGTTAATAACAAACAGGAACAAAAATACAGAAGGAAGCACAGTAAATTGGCTAAAAATCAAGTGTCTAAAATATGAAAAAACCAAACCAGGAGTAATTCAGTATAGGTATGACCATACTTCAGAGTTCAAAGTTATTCAAGTATTTGGTAAAACTCCTCCAAACTCTTTTGAAAAAATAACCCTTCAAAATTTATATTCAAAAATAATTCCAATAACAGGGAAGAAAAAAAAATAGCCTGCTGCAACTGTGTCGTAAAGGAGACATCCCAGAAGAATTTCACGGTTGGTACAAATCGTTGCCAACATCGAAATCAGCTGTAGACGAAGTTCCTTCCTCAACCAACAGTGATGAAGATATTGAAGACTGAAGGAAATAGTTATTAATACATGCTATAAAATTGTTGTTGTATTAGTTTAACATTAAACTATTAAATACATTTTTGCTATTTTTATTCTGCCAAAATCATTTAAGTCCTGCATTTTTTTCATTTTTTAGCATCCTATATAAACAATAATAATATTGTGGGCAAAACATGTATTGCCAAAATATATCAACTTTCAAACTTTAATTTTCTTCACATAATAATCATAAGAAATTAATAGTTTAGTTTTAATGAGACAGTAAACATTAAAAGTTAATTTTCTCGAAACAAACAATTGCGGACTTAACGGATTTTTGCAGTAAGCCCACGGTATGTACAAATTGTTACAAGACTTTTATAGATAAATATTTTAATGTGTTAATAAAAGGTTATGTAAATAAACTTAACGACAGTAATAGGGAAAAATTATATAAATTAAAACGTAAAAAAACCAAATTAAAGAAAATAACTCACAATTAAATTTGTATTTTGATTTAATCTATAAATAAACTAATAAATTACACTTATTAAATAACAGGCTGTTAAATGCATAAGTTTGTAGTTATCAACTCATACAATGAGATGGCGCTATTTTGTTTGCTGCCACAAAACTAATGGGAAATGTCAAGAGTTGTATGTATTATAGTCTATAGTATTTGATGTAAAAGGTGAGTTTCTCTGTTATTTAACCAACAATCCAACTTTTATAACCTTTGTCAAATTAACATAACCTACAAAAACATTAATTGTACTGTTTTAATTTTATCAAAGCTTACATCTTACATAAATAGTAATTATTGTTGTGTTTGTTTGCTGTAGATGTTCCTGGAGCTGCCGTCAGTTTCTACAAATACGACAAGGAAACGCATTCGCAAGGAAAATACGTGGAAAAAAAATGTGAGAAAAAACAAACGAGCTAAAGGTGAGGAATACACTAACACTAAAGGCGTTATCGTTCTCGCTAAAACGATAAATACACAATATCGATGTCCCTGTAACGAAAAACGCCACGAGAAGATCGAACCTGAAAGACAAAGAATACTATTTTCCAAATATTATGGATTATCAAATTTCAATTTGCAAAGCTCATACCTGTGTTCACTCGTAAATGTCGTAATTAAAGCAAGATCATGTAAACAAAATGCAAACGATGTCACAACAAAGGCGAGAGAATTTTCCAGACTGTATCATTTACCAGATATGAACGGAAGACAAATTCGTGTTTGCAAGTCATTTTTCAAACATGTCCTTTAAGTATCAGATGGACGTTCCACAAGGGTTTTGAAAAATAAATCAGTTGGTGATACACCCCTATTGACAAGCGAGGTAAACATGTCCCAACAAACAAAAACCCTGAGCTGAAAGAAAATGAAGTAAAGGAGTTCATTAATACTTTTCCAAAATACGATTCACACTACACCAGACACAAAAGTGAGACAAGACAGTATTTGCCACCTCACTTGAATTTGACAATAATGTATTCCGAATATAAAAAGAAAGTCTACGAACCTGTTTCTAAAAAAATCTTTGAAAAAATATTCAATGAGAAGTTCAACTTATCATTCCATGTTCCTATAACAGATTCATGTAAGAAATGCGATAATTTCAAAGTAAAAATAGAGGCTTGTGAAAATAATGAATATTCCAAGAAGGCCGAACTTACCACTGCCAAGGAGATTCATTTAAGAAAAGCGGAAAGTGCCATGAATAATATGAAAATTGATATACAGTATGCAAAAGAAATTCAGATCCGTCGAGGAGTCCGGCAGAGATGTATCTTATAGCCACTTTTATTTAATCTGTATAGTGAAGCTATCTGTGAACAAGCACTCGAGGAAGAAGATCTTGGCCTGATAATAAATGGTGAGACGATCAACAATATAAGGTATGCTGACGATACAGTTCTCCTAACGGGAACGCTAGTAGAACTACAACATCTCGTTCAAAGTCTCAATATATACTGTAACAGTTACGGCTTGAAAATTAATTTGAAAAAAACTAAATTTATGGTAATCACGAAATCAAAGAACATCAGAGCTAATCTTGTAATAGACAACACAACGATTGAGCGTGTGCCCTGTTATAAATATCTAGGTGCTTGGATCACAGACGATACTGATCAAACAAAAGAGATTAGATGTAGGATAGAAATCGCTAGATCAGTCTTTAATAGAATGCGCAAACTCTTTTGCAATCGTGATATCAATATAAAGTTACGAATACGAATGCTGCGGTGTTATGTCTTTTCTACCCTGTTATATGGAGTTGAGGCTTGGACACTAAAACAGTTGACCATAAAAAACATCGAAGCTTTCGAGATGTGGTGCTATAGGCGCATTCTCAGAATATCATGGATGGACCGCGTCACTAACACGCAAGTACTCCAAACTTTAGACAAAAGATGCGAAATTCTTAATGAGATAAAAACTAGAAAGATGGAATACTTGGGGCACATTGTGAGAGGTGAAAAGTACGAACTTTTAAGAAACATCATGCAGGGCAAAATTAAGGGCAAAAGAAGTGTGGGAAGAAGAAAAATATCGTGGCTTCGTAATCTACGTGAATGGTTCGGGTGTAGTTCGATTGAACTTTTCAGGCGCGCTGCTAACAAAGTCGCAGTGGCCATGATGATTTCCAATCTCCGCTAGGAGTGGCACGAGAAGAAGAAGAATGCAAAAGAAAACAACGACACCACAGTAATTATATTTGATCTGATGAAGACTCTTCCAACTCCGGTAATTTCAACTGGAATATGCTATTATAAACGGCAGCCACAGGAAATAGGTTCATGTTTATTAAAATTTATTAGAGATAATGTACGCACAAAGAAACTAATAATGTACTCAGACCAATGTGGCGGTCAGAACCGCAATATAAAAATTGCGGTGTTGTGTATGTACATTGTATCAAATCCAGCTTATACTGTGGAACAGATTGATCACAAATTTTCAGTGAGCTGCCATTCCTACTCATCTTGTGACCGAGCTTTTGGCTTGATAGAAAAGCAGAGGAGGTATTTCTCAAACATATACATTCCGGAGCATTGAAACACCGTGATAACAGCAGCGAGAAAAAAGAATCCATTCAAGGTAGTACAGATGAAACGAGACGATTTCATATCGACGAAAGCCAGAAAGTAACATTACGAACAGAAAGATAAGTGTTGATAGGTCTAAAGTAGAGTGGCTAAAAATGCAGTGGATGCTTTATAGTAGGATGCATCCATTCTCTATATATTTTAAACATTCGAATAATCCAGAAGTCCTTTTTACCGAAGTTAACTTCAGTAAAAGGAATTCTCAAGATGCTGCTAACCTGCTCTATCCGGATGGAAGAAAAATCAACCCTAACAAAAATAAAGACCTTCTGTGTTTACTAGAATATGTTCCGCCAATATATCATCAATTCTACCACCAACTAGCAGACTCTAACACTGCAAGAAATGAATTAAACGAAGCAATGAGCGAGTTTTCAGTGGAGTAGTGTGTAATGAAAACGTTTAAAAACAATAAAAGTGAAAGATTGATTACAACTTAAGTAAAAAACTAGCACTAAGTTTTAATTTGTAATTTTTCAGTTTAATAAAAGTCATTATTTCTGGTAAATTACATTAATTTATTTCTATGGGATGGGTTGTTTTCATACCCGATGGCCTATTATTCTTACCTTGATTGACATGCTTGTCTCAAACAGCCAATGCCAAAGTGGCCCAATTGTTAAAAAAGTTACAAATACTTACAAAATTAGTATCAGGCTATAGCCCATTAGAATCATAGTAATTTTTAAAGTATTATGCTGCGAACTAAGCGATGTGTTTAATATTTACTTAATGTTCTACATTTGTTACAGATCTCTAGTTTTGATTTCTATCACTTAGGCCACTCTGGTTCTGGTGGCCTCATATCTATCAGTAGCAAAGATAGTGTATCGTATTTCTAAAATCTTTTTTGGTTTTTGCATACCTAATCGATTTCAATAATGTTACGTTTACGGGACGTTGGGATTTCCTGTAATAGGCGCCGCTAACTCGACAGACTAACGGATTTAGATAATAAAATTTAGATTTTGCATTTTTGTTTGTACAATAATTCTAATTTGATTGGATAAATGAAAAGAACATGCAGTTTAGAGTATTTTCTCATAATCTATCCATAGATGTGATGTGCAATATTTTGGAAGACATAGTTGTAAGATGCACATAAAAGGAAAACCAAATAGGTTTGGGTTCAAACTATGGTATCTATGTAGTTAAAATGACTATTTATTTAAAATTGTACCTTATGGTGGAAAAACAAGTGCTTATAAAAATGAGTTGGGTCTAGGAGAAAACGTTGTGCTGGATTTGTTATCAGTTGAACGAAAATCCAATCATCGCATATTTTTTGATAACTTTTCTCATCTTACAAGCTATTCCGTTTGCTAAAAGAAAAAGGACTTTACGCTACTGAGACGATCCGCGAAAACAGCACTTGTAATAGTACAATAGATAGTGTAAAAAATATTAAATAACAAGATCGTGGTACTTACGATTTTTCTTACAATTCTGAACAAAGTGTATTGTTAGTTAGATGGAATGACAATTCTGTAGTGACAGTTGTAACAAATAATTGTACCATTGAACCTCTTGCAAAAAGATATGAAAGGAAAGAAAACAAAATCCAACTAATTCCTTAGCCAAAATTGATAGCTGAGTAAAATCAACATATAGGTGGTGTTGATTTGCATGATAACGGCATATCAAATTACAGAATAAAGGTAAAAGGAAAGAAATAGTAGTGGTCCCTTTTTATGAATGTGATTGATAGTGTTATTGTTAATGCGTAGAAAATATATAACGTGTCAAATAAAACCAAAATGTCACAATTAGATTTTAAATCTTACATAGCAGTCACCCTTATGAAAATTTAAGTACCGCTCATCGATGATAACTTCCAAGGAGAGGGTATATCGGCTTCAAATGATCCAATCAACAATCCTACAAGATCCAATTCATTGCAGAGGAAGGAGAACAAAGCAAGAAAAAGATGCAGACAGTGCAAAAGTACAATATATATATATATATATATATATATATATATATATATATATTATATATATATATATATATATAATGTGTGTGTGTGAGTGTGTATGTGTGCGAAGTGTAAAATACAGCTACATCCAAATTAGTTTCACGAATCATTAATAAGTATTTAGATATAATTTTAGCAATAAAATTCAATAAAAAAAACAAATTGGTTTTCTTCTACTCTTGGCAACTAATGGGTTAACGAGTGATACTAAGTAATGATTATAATTCTCATGGCACTGGCCAACGCATACCTGGCCCAGCCCTCGGTGGGCAGGTATTTAGCAGAACATATTTAAAAACGTGATTTATCAGTCGTTAATAATCCTTGTTACTGTGCGGTTTATAATACGAGTGTAATTATGTTTCGCCTTGGGAAAATAATCGCTTGACGGCTATTAGTTATAGTCGAAAGAACTTGTCATTAGACGCAAAACAAATAGTTAAAAATGTGTATGATACTTTAATAAGTAGAGGCTTAATCAAACAAGCTGCTGTAAAAGAAACTTCTGTACTTACAAAAACGCCAATATTGTCGATAAAGGATATTGTAAACAGTAAAACACTTCCAGGCAGAAAAAACGTAGTGATTTCCGGTCTCATCGTTTGGACAGTGCTCAACAAGATATGATAAGAAGAAAAATATATTCCCTCTATGAAAACCAGATTGTTCCTACTTTGAATAAACTTAAATTGAAGTTAAAAGAAGAAGAAACAAATATACATATTAGCCGTGCCACCCTCCATAGAGTCATTTCTACAATGGGTTTTAAATATCGTAAGATAGACAAAAAACAAGTTTTAATGGAATCACAAAGATTGCGTACTTGGAGATATAGTTATCTCTCTGAAATTAGGAAATATAGATTAGAAAACAAATCTATGATTTACCTGGATGAAACATGGTTCGATTCACACGATACAGTACAAAAAGGATGGATCGATTCTAGTAGAAGCTGCCAGACGAAAGCACCTTCAAATAAAGGAAAACGCATAACAATAATTCACGCTGGTTCGGAAGACGGATGGGTCCCAAACTGTTTGCTGTTATCTGTGAAGAATATCAAAGACTCTAGCTTAGAGTACCATCAAGATACAAGTGAAGAACTTTTTGAAAACTGGTTTCAAAATTATATTTTAAAAAATATCCCTAACAATAGTGTCATTGTAATGGATAACGCAACCT